CCGGCCTCGGTGGCCTTGTGGGAAATCCGGGCCTGGGCGCACATAGTCACGTTATACAAGCAATCCGTGGGCTCTATAGCTGGCAGATCGCTTGTATGTAAACAGGCAACGCTGCCTGTTTTAATTTTTCGGCAGTTTCCCACTTGCGTTGCTGACGGGACGTTTAAAAACGCTCGCTCAGATCCAGGTAGCTAAAGATAAAGTGATATTCAAAAAATCATTTTTTGTCCATATGTAAAGTTGTAGTGCTCCATGCTTCAGTGCTCCACATTTATAAACAGAAAAGGTCCACACTCACCAGATAGCCTTTGTAAACTCGCTTAGAGTATATCCAATTGTTGGTCTGCCTCTCAAAAATCCCTGTGGGAGACATTCAGTAACACCACCTCCTCCGGTCTCCTCATAAAGGAGGTACAGAAAGCGACCAAAAATAGCTCAAAGGGACTAAATGTGGACAATAATTTCTTGCACAGGGCCGGCCTTAGGCCTTTAAGCACCCTGTGCGAGAATGCTTTACAGCGCCCCTCAGTGACCACACCCCCAAGTGGCCACACCCCTCAGTGACCACACCCATTTCCATCAATATCCGCACCATTTAAAGACTCCTATTTTGTTAAGCCCCAAAGAAACATTAAAGGATGATAAAAATAAAACTTTTATTCAAAGGTATTAAACTTGTAGGCACAATATAATCATTCTTATATAAAACAACAGAAGGCAAACAAGTGGTAAACAATAAATGTCAAACTAAAATAGAGTCTATAAAAATAAAGTGTCAGGATGTCACGCAGAATCCTTTTTTCAAGTACGCGTATCTAGAAAAGTAAAAATAAAAAACGGAACACAAAACCCGGACTACATGTAAAATTAATGAATTACTATTTGCCCAAATATACGAAAAATGTATTCAGGCACATAATTTGTTTGAGAATGTGCGGCGGCCATGTTGGCCACCGGCGGGTTCTGTGAATGCGTGCCACCATCTTGGAGGCGGGGAGCATGACGTTACATGATGCCATGCATGCGTGGCGTCAGGTGACGTCATACGCCGATATTGGCCCCACCACCTTGGTGTATACCTAGATATACACCAAGATGGTGGCGCCCAACACGTGCGGTGTTATATGATGTCATGAGCCCTGCCTCCAGAACACGCCAATGGCTGAATCCAAAATTGCATAAAAATGTGTTTTGTTTGATGAAACAAAAAAGTTTTTTAGTTTTTGTTAATTTAATCTGAAATTAATTTTTAGTCTTCGCACATGTCTAATGTGGGGGTGGCAGTTTTCACTTTTTTAAAATATTTTTTTTGTAATTAATTTTTTTACTGTTGGGGGGCTTCGGGGTCCCGCTTCCTCAGCGGTCGAGGGAGCGCTGTCATGTCGGATGGCCAGCCGTGAGGAGGAGAGAAGCTGCCCCGAGGACTAGATGTGTCGGCCGCCTGGCGCCTTTGTTGCTATGGCGCCCTGTGCGGCCGCACAGCTCGCACACCCCTAAGGCCAGCCCTGTGTCCAATAAAAAACTTTATTAAAAGGTTAAAAATACTCACGAGTTAAAAAACAAGTCGCATATAAACACCGCACCGATGTGCTCCTTCTATGTAAAGACTGGGGTTTAGTGATCTCAAAATACACCCGCTCGTCTACGCGTTTTGCCAGAGGACTTTGTCGGGACGGCATGCATGTTGAGTATCACTAACTGAGCCTTAAAAAGTAAAATCAGAGATCATCCTTAATTGATCATGAGGTTCCAATACAGGCGAATACCAACAGCCCAACCATAGCAATTAAAAAGGATCCTCCCATACATGAGTCCCTCAGATAAAATCCAATGGAACTACAAATACCTGAACTGGTGCAAATTAAATGATATAATATGATGAACAGTGATAACATTAATATATATAATTTTAAGATACCAATGTATGCATGTATAACATAAATGCACAAATTCATATATAACGGTGATGCAAAAATGTGTATATTCTATATTTAGCTGATACATCTCATTTTGAGGTGTGTAGGTATACCATTGGAAGGTTTATTCACATTATGTGTAGGACATGTTACCATGATAGATAGATATAACATCCCAGGAGATGATGTTAAGGGCATCATAGCTGAGGTAAGGAAATGTTAGAGTTAACCATGCTGGATTCAGACTACACTCATAGTAACGAGAGTTATCCCTCATCCATTGAATAGCATACTAAATAGATGTTATTGTGAATATGCACATTCTGCTAAAGCTAATTGTACCACGCTTAGTTACAAATAAAAACAGTAATAATAGTAATCATTTTAGAACAAGAATATTGAAAGCCCTACAGAACTGCTGTCCCTCCAATACCACCAATCAACAAAAAACAACCAGTGGTGCAACCAGTAATAATTTCATGTGCACACTCACCAGCTAATATACTGGGGATAGACTTGGTGTTGGAGGACAGGTGTTGAGATGGAAACGGTTGCTATAAAGACAATTGTATTTCCATTTTATTTTTTTTAAAGATCATTCACACAAAACGGGTAGAGCATATTGAGGGCCTTATCAGTGTGATGTTGTTTATTCATGATTCCTTAAAACAAATCTGTCATGAGAGAATATGGAGCTGCCATTGCTGACATTTTTTGAAAATGCTGGTTGGCTGGCTATTGCGCTGACCCACTGGCTTCAGGTCTTCCTTAGTCACAAAGCTGGTGTGAGTATGCATAATAGAAAAGTCAGAGACATGTCAAAATTCCTTGTTCACATACTTGCTTTAGGTCAGTGATGGTGAATTTATTTTAGCCAAAGCCATTACTGTATTTTACATTTCTTTCCATGGTACAAAAAAAAGTTAACTCATCTGTTGTAAACTACCTTTCTGTGTTTCTTTTTTTCTCTCCAGAAGTGGAAGATCTGCTGTCTTCACTGAAAGAGATCCAGCACACTTTGATAGATTCACAAAGCCAGGAAGACTTATATTTACTTCTACAACTGGTGCAAAATAAAGACTTTCAGAACGCATTTAGAATTCACAATGCCGTTGCTGTCCACATGAACAAAGCTAGCCCCCCTTATCCACTTATCCCAAATGTCCAGGAGTTAACACAAGAGGTAAGTCACTACTCAGTGATTTTTATTTATATATATTTTTTTAAGCATATAGTTTGCAAGATCGCAAGGAAATATATGGAAATGAAGCTTGGATTATCAAGCATGACGAGGGAAAATTTAAATTGAGTGAGTAGATTCACTTTGTTTCAGCAATGCCATGTTGTTACAGCCATGTTGTGTAACTAAACAGTGTACTCTGTGATTTTAAAGTGCATGTTTAGGCAAATTAAAACATATTCAGCACAGGTCTTAAATAAGTGCACTTTTACATGTAGAGAACAAAAAAGTACCTGAAAATCCTGTCAAAACTCCAGTGATCCCCTAACTTGTGTTTGTTGGCCTTTGCTTCACTGAAATCCTAAGCAGTGTTGTCAGCTCTGAGTTATGCCCTGCAGGACCACAGAACATCTCGCCCTTTCCTCATTTCCATAACATAAGCGGGAGGTGTCCTGAAGTCCTGCAGGGGATAATTGAAGCAGGACCGATAACACGCTTTAGGATTTCAGTGTAGCAGAGGCAGTGTTCTCAGCTTACTACAGGTAGTTAGAAGTTTACTGAATTTTGACAGGCACTGCAATTCTTCTTCTTTTTTTTTTTAGCGAGAAAACGTGTATGTATTGCAGAGATGTGTGCATGTTTTGTTTTGTTTTTTCCCCAGACATAGACTTTCCCTCTCCAATATTCACTATAAGGGTTTGTTCACACCAAATGCAGACCAGATCTGCACGAGTTTCTGCACATGCAGTGCGGTGGGTTTTTCCGCCTTTTTGCTGCATTTTGAGGGTCGTTTAAAATAAATAAATATTTTTTTAGCATAAAATGGGCTTTCAGTGCGTTTGCATGCATTTTTGATTGGCAGGTTTTCCACATGCTCTGGAACTGAGCGCTCTGGTGTAAACTAGAGCCGAAAAATACCATTGGAATACATTGAATACAGTTTTGTAACTGCTCTGCTCCGCACTTGTGAACTAGCCCTAAGGGCTCATGCAAACTGGTGCTATTGCCCCCTAGAATCATTTGTTGCTAAGATGCTGGCATCTCCAATAGAGTTAATTTGCTCTGTACGAATGTAAACATTAGCAGAAATATTTTCAGTACAGCGTAAAATACAAGTTTACTAATCTTTACGCAGCTGGGTGCATGGGCATGATCTATAAGGCCTCGTTCACACCAGACACAATGCGCTCCAGCACGATTCTGGCCAGAACGCAATTCATCGCATTGCGGGCGGCTCACTATGTTGGGGCAGGAGGGGGCGTGGGGGTCCATTGAAGTGAATGTCACCGTAGCCACACCCTCTAGCCGCAATGCCATCAAACACATGGGATCGCAAGGCACATTATGTCTGTGTTCTGGCCTGAATTTAGTGCTTGCAGCATTCTGTTCGGACCAGATGCGATCCAGTGCGTTCTGGCCAGAATCGGGCCATAACGCACTGCCTGCTGTGAACAAGACCTTAAAGAAAGAATGCTTTACTGATAAAAATTAAGTGTTTTTTACGCCCGTATGCATTAGTCTTAAGCCTATATCCAGATGTGCTGTTTAGTATTTGCTTGCTTGCACCTTACTTTTGTGCCTTAATGCAAAAGCCTAGTAATTTAGCTAACTAAGGGACTAACTGAACTCCCCCTTATTTTAGCTATGGTGCATAAAGGAATTTTTTTGAGAAATAATAGGTGTATACTGTATGTAAGTGACATTTTGTATGTGTTATTTGGTCATAAATTACAGATATCTAACACAACAAGAGAACATTACTTTTTTTGTTTCTCTAGAGATCTAGTTTTTCTAATTACCCCAAAACAGTTAGTGCATCTCAACCACCAGGCTGAAGCTTCCTGCCTGCTGGCCTATGAGAAATCACAGCTGCAATTATTGGAACATCCAAGGTCCCGTAGTTGAGTATTTCATTAATACACATTATACTCACTCATTGAACTCTGGGACCATGGCTGTTTCATTAATTTAAGCTGTCCCAAAAAAGCTTGCTACCGTTCCCTTTCTAAACACTTCTCATAACCTGTGGCTCCCTTATTACCCCTTCCCTATTCTCATGCTACCTCCTCTCCTGCTCCTTCACTTTCAAGGTTCTTCCGCATTTCATCTCTTTTCTTGAAAGAAAATCATAGGACAGAAGGAGTTAACTCTGGATTGGATGGGTTATGCAGCTATATTTAGGTGAATGGACACTGGCAAATCAAAGCTGTCAGGACAGCACTGTATAACCCATCCCTGCCTGCCTTTTATTAAATTTGGCGTCTTTTTCAATAGTTCCATAGGCAACCTGCAAAGCCGCACGGCACCTACGCAGCCTCCCTCTGGTGTTCTGTCCTGCACATGCTCCCACCTTTTTCCTTGAGCTTACCACACATTGCAACTATGCATGACTAACAGAGTCTATATCCTTGCACTTAATTCCCCTGCTCACTGTTTCTGCCTAAAGTGTAGTGCCAGTAAACACCCTGTAATTTCCACAGTAGTTAATGCTTGTATTCCTTCTCAGGCAATGGTGGACTATACATTTGGGCATGTAGGGTGGGGCCACACAGCCTGAACAGTTCTGGGTAGGGTTCTGTCCCCTCTACGGTCACAGTTTCTGCTAGCCCTATGCTCTGCTTCTCTTCCCCAACACTCCCCACCTCAGGGTCTTTCAGCATCCATACCTATCCTGCTCTCCAGATAGGAGTTATGTGGAAAATGATGGGTCTACTGTCTGTACATATGCAACAGATCCTATGGTTTAAATGTTGGTCTGCTTATCTTTCTTGCAAGAAGCACCTTGATCCCATGTCCTTTACGGGGGAATGTCTGTTCGGAGAATCCTTGGATAATTATAATTGGAACCGTGCAATAATTGTCTATGCAGCACCATCAATTTTTCCCCCATTTCAATAATTTTCCAACTTGGACGATAGGCAATCTTCTCTTTCTCTCTCAATTAGCTTATTCACCATTCTATCTATCCTATACTTGATTTATTTGATATAAAAAAATATATAATTTTTTCCTCTTTTTGTATTCTTCTTCAAGAACCAAATCACTACTGTCTTTAACTAGTTCTTTCCTTTTAATATTTTAGGTCTAACTTCTATTTTCATATTGCACAGTAGGTCCTATTACTTAAAGGAGAACTATGGGGTTAAGGCTTTTCCCCATAGTTCTCCTCAGGGTAACGGGAGGACACAAACTAGCGTCCTCCCGTCACCCTAGGCTCAGTATACCGCGAGCTACAGCTGCTGCTCGCGGTATACTGAGACGCTGAAGCGGATCCCGACAATTGTGCCGGGATCCACCCAGCTGCGTGACTGACAGCTGGCTCTGCCTATCTAGAGTCAGAGCCAGCTGTACCCGCCCCCTCCCCCGTCCGTCCCACCTCTCAGCACTGGCGGATCGGAGCGGGGAGGGGGGAATCCAGCCGTGACAGGATCGAGAGGTGAGCGAACGCCGGTATGTGTTCGCTCACCTCCCGATCTACTGAGCCCATCTGTGACAGTCTCATTGTCACAGGTCGGCTAGAACTATGAGGTGAGTGAAAAGCACTCACCTCATAGTTCTCCTTTAAAATGCAAAGTGCTCCATCAACGAGTGCTTTACATGTTTCCCCACAATTATTGCCTTTGTCAAGGGTTGCTGTGATAATTGTGCTTTTGTGCAGATAAAATTGTAAAATGCATGTGTTTGGGGCATCTGCCTCACTTTATACCCTCTTTTACGCATAGATGCCGTGCTGTTGTGATGTCACTGCACAGCATGTATCTGTATGTATGCAATATCTGCACACATGTGACATCATTACGAACGCGTATGCTTCCGTCTGATTTGGTTTTTTTTCTATGACGTAATTTCCTTCTAGAGAGTTCTGCCTCTCATCAATGGCCACCTCCTGATTCCTTAACACTTTTAAAAAGAGGGTGTAAATAGTCAGATGCCTCAAAGAAACAAGATTTTACAATTGTGTTTGCAGAAATGCACATCTACCACAGCATTTAAACCCACGAGAAGCCACTAATTGTGGTGAAACCTGTAGAGTACACTTTGAGGGAGCACTTAATATTTTTAGTGATGTGAAGCATGCAATATGGAAATAGAGGTTAGACTTAAAGGGAAACTGCACTAAAAAAAAACAAATCTAGCAGAATAGACCACATTTTTGCCTCTTCTTCCCTGATACCTTTAGTAACATCTTCCCATATCAAAGACATTGCATGGTCCAACCATTCCATGGTCACGATGTCACTTTCTCACCTCCGAGACCTTAATAAGCCATTCCAGTGGAGATTGAACACATCTTTATTGAGCACGCCCCTGGTAAGCAATGCTATTGATTCCCAACTTTCCTCATATTTTGCTTTGAATGTTGACCCGAACATGTCTCCTGTGGTCTGGGCTGTCCTTTATTGAACAGTCAACCAAACTTAAAAACAAACCTCCTAAACATATGGTGGAACTTGAGGACAAGTTGAGGGTTCTGACCAGGCAACATAAACTAACCCCTTGCCCCTCCCTTCTCCAGAATATTGAAAACATCCGCGCTGAGCTGAATTTGTTCTTGACAACTAAAGCAGTAAAGGACTTCGCTGGTGTGCCAATAAATTTTATGTCCACAAGGATAGAATGGGAACGCTTTTGGCATCAAAAGTATCCCTGAGAATTCGCAGTTTTACCATCCCTAAAATTAGATGCAGAACTGGCACCTACCTACACACAGAACCCGAAAAAAGTACTTCAGGAATTTCATGCTTTTTATTCCACTCTCTCCAAAGGCCCGGATTGACAAATTTCTTGGTGATCTCTATGCCATTCTTATCGTCAGACCATAAACACATTCTTGAAGAACCTATTTCTCTGTCAAAAATCAGAACAGTTATTAAAATGGCAAAATCTACTTCAGCTCTGGGCCTGGATGGACTACCAGCCTCTTATTATAAGAAATATATAGATATCTTGGCCCCTCACCTTGAGGCTTTTTATAATTCTTTGCGTTCTGGCACCTCCCTGGA